TATTTAATACTATTAATTTATAATAATTTATTTTAAAATACTTATAAATATTTTATAATATCCCACAATCTCCCACAAATTTTAAAAGGAGGGAAATTTTTTTGAAAAACTATCTTATACAAATAATTTTATATTTCCACAAAATAGTTTTTGAAATTTTGAAAAATTGCCTAGTATCACGTCTAACTTGTGTGCAATTGTATGTGAGAACTTATTTCTCCTCTAAGCCTATTTATTAACCCAAATTTACATTTTAGTATTTATAAACTAAGGCTTCCATTCATTTGAGCAACATAGAACTTTTTCTTTTAACACCATTGCAACAATCTCCCATATATGTTAAAAGAATCACTATCATTTGAGTTATTACATAGAAGATAATCACTTCGAATTTAGTATCTTTCGACTTGAACTAAACCTAGACTAATAAAACTTAGAACACCAAAAAGTTGATGTAACTTTGTTATTGAACCAACATATCTTGGTTATGTGCTAAAGGCCTTATTAATTGAATTATACCCCCGTAATTTTCACTATTATCAGCAATTTTACACGTTATCGGCCATATGTGGGCTGATTTTAACAAATGTTTTAAAAATTTTGCCACAATCTCATAGGAGCAACCCTATTATACATTCGTATTGGTAATTTTATCAAGTGTATCTGCAATGAATATACCATCCAAAAGGATTATGAAAATTATTAAAAGCTTTTGCTCAGCCTCTAATCAATACATTCTAGTACTTTCTCTAGACATAGGAAATGACATAAAATTTAATGCTAGTAAAACTAATAAGTGACTTATTCTTATCCACTGAACCTTCTTCATAGAATCTCCAATCATAAAAGTTGAGTTGTCATCACCGTCAATTTCAAATAGGCTTAAGTCTCATTTTCCTCGACATTTTAATAATTAATTTCTTCCCTAAAGGTTCATTAAAAGATCTGTCAAATTTACATATGATCTCACATAATCGAATGAGATAACTTCCTCTTTTATCTTATTTAATTGTATCTCAAATGATGTCTACCTATGTCACTGTTCTCTTTACAATGACTATCGTCATTTGGCAACTGCATAAATTATTAACATAATATGTGTCAATTTTACTCTCAATGCAATATTATTCACTATGAAGTTTCTCAACTACTTAGCTTCATTACTAGCTAACTTTATAGTAATATACTCTGACTGACATAATATTTTATTTGGCTACCAATGAATTTTTTCTCATTTGAATGTAAAATTCAATCACTGTATTATTTCAATACAATGGAAATTCATTATATGTGATACCATCATTTATGGTATCCCTCAAACACTCACTTGTCTCATCCTCTTAAGACTACTTGATATGCTCAATCTCCATACAATATGACTATATCATGAAATTAACATTAATAGCTTTGGCACACTTTATTTGAATCCCTCAGCCACAAATCATATTATGATATCATACACCAAAATCAAACAAAGTAAAAACTAGATATTTGAACTTATCTCTTTTTTTTTATTATTATTTGCAATCAATTGGAAGAACTTTATCTATAGGCAATAGTTCTTAAAATTATTGACACCAATAGATAAAATCATAGTTTGAGTCGTGTCAAAGAACATTATCCTTAAGAGCTATTTCATTACACCAGGTTGATTGCACAACAGCTCCTTAAGATTAAATAAACTCATCCTACAAAATGAAAGGGAATACAGAACAACAAAAATTCTTAAAATAATTCAAGTAATACCAACACTGATGAAGTGATAAGAGAGGATGAGAGAAAGCTCATCTTTAAGGCTCTCTAAAAGCATGTGGCAAATATTACTTTTTATAGGCGGATATATTAAAAATTAGGCAATAAAAACACACTAAATACAATTAAAAAATAGTTTCATGTAATAATAGGGTTTAATATATATATATATATATATGTTATAATATAATTTTTTAAATAGTATTTAATGTTATTAATTTATAATAATTCCTTTTAAAATATTAATAAATATTTTATAATATCCGACCCTTACAACTTGCAAGGTGCGTCATTTCTCCCGAGAGGAATCATCATCACTTGTAATTTAAAGCAAAAACAGAACAACAACAACAACAACAACAACAAAAGAAACGTTACATAGAGAAAATCAACAGCGCACTTTTCATTTGATTCGACGGCAGAGAGTGATTCCATCACCAACAGAAAGCATGCAGATCTCAATCCTAGGGTCCACAACGAGAGCCTTGTTGAGCTCCAACACGAACTCTCTGTAATACGTGACGAACTTCATTAAGGGCTCATCGGGTGTTGCCACGACAGAGCCGTACCACAGGGTGTTGTCGTAGCCGATCACGCCCCCCACCCTCACAAGCTCAATGAGCCTCTCGTGATAGTTGAGGTAATTGTTCTTGTCGGCATCCACAAATATGAAATCGAAGCTCCCATGATTCTTCTCCTGCATCCATTTTTCCTCCAGTTTCAGCCTTTTTTTTTTTTTGCACTTTTTTATTTTGGGATTGAAATTTTAGAGACGAAGATGCACAATGCTTACGTCTTTAACGAGTTCGTCCAGAAAGGGAAGTGCTGGGCCTTCTTTGAATTCAATTTTGTGGGCCACACCAGCTTTCTCAATTGTTGGACAGCCCAATTCATAGAATTCTCTTTTCATGTCCATAGCCAGTATCTGCATAAAAAAATCAAACCACCTTGTTTAAAAAAAAAAAACAAAGAAAGAAAACAAAGAAAAGAAAAGAAACCGAATACTCCTACATTTTTTACTCTGTCGAAAAAAAAGTGAAAATTAATTAAATATTATAATGTTATGTCTAGACAAGTGAAGATTTAGATTTAGATTCAGACCAAATAAATGTTTCTATTTTAATAATAAAAATATAAAATCGCACAAATCAATCATTTATGTTGAAAATTTATAAAAACTTTTTTAATTTTTAAAATAAAAATAAATAATTGAGGCATCTATAAATTTCATTAAAATTTGATAATCCCTTGTATACACAAGTTTTTTAAAATTATACAAAAATATTAAAATTGAATATAGAAATTTTAAAAATAAAAATATACAAAATTTGAGTTATAATTCAGTAGAAAATTATATAAACTATTCTTTTTTTTTTATGAAATCATAACTGTCATTTTATATTTTCATGTAATATAAAAACTCCATCGAGCCAATTATATTATGAGATATTTTAAGTTTTTCTTTGCCAAAATTGAGACATTTTACGTAACGCATACAGATCAATCATTGCAATTAGACAACGTCCTAAAATATTCTAATCTCTTCAAATATATACGTTCATTAGATATAATTGAGGCTCCTAAAAAAATTAGGAAGAATGATATAAAAATCCTAAAAGGATCAATTAATTCAAGTGAAATCATAAGTGTCAAATTTTAAAAATTTACAACTCAATCTTTCAATTTTACAATTATGTTATAATGAATTTGCAACTTCTCTTTCAAATTTTATCATGGTTGAAAAATAAAAATTTTTATTTTTCTTGATAAAATCTAGAATATAAATTGTAAATTTATTACAATGGAATTACAAAATTAAAAAATTGAGTCATAAATTTTTAAAATTTAACACTTAAAATTTAACTTAAATTAATTAATCATATTTTGAAACCTTTCTATCGTTCTTTCAAAAAATTAATAAAGGTAAGTACTCACATTTTTTACGGGTTTACCTCGGGTAAGTACTGAGTACTATTACTTTACTCCCTCTGTTGCTAATAAATTACTGGCCAATTTTTTTTTTTTCATTGCATAAGTTACTTCAATTTATAATACATGGTAGTAAAATAACCGATTCTATTTTGGAATATGATTTTTTTAAAAATCAAATTCTCAAATAAAATTTGTTCAAAAAAAAAAATTCTCAAATAAAATTGACTCATAAGAGAACACTTATGCACACCTTGCCGTCATCAGGAAGAGCGAGGGCGGTGGCGAGCAAGGAGTAGCCGGTGTACACCCCAATCTCCATGGTGTTCTTGGCGTTCATGAGTTTAATTAGCATGTTTAAAAACTGCACTTCGTCAGCCGATGTGGCCATTATGTTCCTATACATCATTATTATTTTCATCATCAAAACCAACCCACAGATAAACCTGAATGCACATGTCAATGTATCATTACGAGAATCTCAAAGTGTACGTACAATGGATGCTTTTCTGTTATCTCTCTCAGCTCCTTCATGGATTCTGGTTCTCTCGGATACACACTGGTTTCCAGAATGTACTGCAACAATAACATTCGATCTTTGTCAAGTTAATAAGAAATGGCTTTGGTTTTGGGATACGTCGTCGTACCTGGTACAAAGCATCGCTCTGCAAGAGGTTCTTGCGGACAGCGTCGTTTTGGTGCATCGCTGCTTCACTTTGCTTTTGGTCTCCGTTGGAAGCCATTTGTTACCTTTTTCTGGTCTCTCTTCCTTGCTTTTTCGCTCTGCGTTTGAGAGTGGCAAAAGGCTGAGGATTGGGATGAAGATGAACGGAAAGATGGCAATATATATATGTGTGTGTAACCGACTACCAGCAACGGGTTGAGGAACATTTACGTTTTGTGGAAGACTTAAATTTGCGAAACACGTTAAGATTTTTAATTAACAACTTTTAATTTAAGAAAAAGAATTTAAAACATTTCTCTTGAGCAGTTTTTCATTTTAAAAAGGTAAAAGTGCACACTTGATGGCAATCTAACTCCACACAAGATTTTAATTTTTACAAAAATTTCTTTTCAATCCTCTAACTCTAATAATATTATTAGTTCCGTAAATAAAAATGGTTGGGATTGTAATTTTGAATGCTGATAAATAATTCGAAAATTGTGAAGTTAAAATGTGATGGAAAATAACGTGTGCATTAAAGTTAAGCAAATGAACCTGACACCTTTTGTTCGTTACAATAACTATTTTTAATCAGTGGGCTGGGCAATTCTAATTGCCCCTCTCTTTTCACTTTAGCTAATCCGCTATTATCAAATTGAGATCAAAGGATGAAATGATTTTCTTTATAATATTCATATTATTACAAGATGCCTCATTTTCTATGGAGAGGTGTCATCACTTGACAATTTAAAGCCAAAAATAAAAAATAAAAATCCACTTCAACACATTTTCATTCATTTCCTGTCGTATAAACAGAAGTAGACGTCACATAGACGACAAAGTCTTAGAACTTAAGATTAGTCAACAGCGGCCTTTTCATTTGATCCGACGGCAGAGAGTGATTCCATCACCGACAGGAAGCATGCAGATTTCAATCCTAGGGTCCACAGCGAGAGCCTTGTTGAGCTGCAGCACGAATTCTCTATAATACATGACGTATTTCCTTAGCGGCGCATCAGGTGGTGCCACGACAGAGCCGTTCCATAGGGTGTTGTCGTAGCCGATCAGACCCCCAACCTTCACAAGCTTGAGGAGCCTCTCGTGATAGTTGAGGTAATTGTCCTTGTCGGCATCCACGAATATGAAATCAAAGCTCCCATGATTCTTCTCCTGCATCCATTTTTTTTTTTTTCCAGTTTTAGTCTCTTTTTGTTTCATTTTTTTTTTTGATTAAAAATTTCGAGATGAGGATGCGTAAAGCTTACGTCTTCAACGAGTTCGTCGAGAACAGGAAGTGCTGGGCCTTCTCTGAAGTCAATTTTGTGGGCCACACCAGCTTTCTCAATTGTTGGACGGCCCAATTCGTAGTTTTCTCTGTTAATGTCCATTGCTAGTATCTGCATCAAAAACAAATAACAGTTCTTTTTTAAAAAATATTAAATAAAAATCCAGAAACTGAAGACCCCTGCATTTTACATTTAAAGCGAACATCATGGCTCATTGAAACGGATTAATGATAGAAATAAAGTGGGGGTGGGGCATTTCATTAAAATCTCTGGTAAAGGCACTCATCTCAATGCAATTCTCAGGAACTGATGATAAAATCACACAAATCATTCATTTATACAAAATTTGAGTATAATCACTGAAAATTTATATAAACTGTTAATCAATTTTTAATAAAATAATTTTATAAAAAAATTATAATAAAATAAAAAATAAATGCATTTCATTTATTGTATTCATAAATGTTATTTTATATTTAGATATAATATAAAGCCCCGACCAACCATATTATAGTACTAAGACATTATTAATCTTTTTTTTTTTTTTTGCCAACCATAAGATGTTACAACTAACTAATAATACAAATTCATAAATTTAAGTAAATTCGTGACAAGTATGTAAATTCACATTGTAAACTCAAATCATAAAACGAGTTTATCTCTATTAATAAATATCCATTGAAATATAATTGTAATTTAATTTAAATATACTAAAAATATAAATAATTAAAATTAAATTCATTTATATTGATAAATTATCCTATAGAAGACATAAAAATTTTAAAATAGAGGAACTTATTTTTGACATTTTTGTTTTTTTTTATTAATATTAGTTTTTACATTTCAAGTTTTTTTTTCTTTGAACCAGATCTTATAACTTTTATAAATTAAATTTTTTATAATATATACTTAACTCATTCAACTCAAAAAAAATTAATGAGTTTAACAAGTTTAATGAAGCTTGCACCTAGTTCAAGTTTATAAATTAATTGATATGATTTTATAAGTTAGAAATACAAAATGGTAAACTCATAAATTTAATTAAATTTATATTTAATTTAAATTTATGAGTGAGTTAACATGATTTTATAAATTTAAAATATTAAAATGTTAAACTTGTAAAATCAACTTGAGAATTTGACAACTATGATACAAATGCAATTAGCCAACGTTCTAAAATATTGTTATCCTTTTAAATATATATGCTTTTCTCAGGATATAATTGACCGTCCTAATAAAAAAATGAATCAAATTAATAAAGATTAATGGCCCGTTTTTTCTTTTGATTTCCGGAAGTTGCTTTTTCATTATTAATTAATAATTGGAATAAAATGAGACTTAGTACATCACCTTGCCGTCGTCGGGCAGAGCGAGGGCGGTGGCGAGCAAGGAGTAACCGGTGTACACCCCAATCTCCATCGTATTCTTGGCGTTGATCAGCTTCAGCAACATGTTCAAGAATTGTCCTTCGTCCGCCGATGTTGTCATTATGTTCCTGTTTTTTTTATTTTTATTTTTTCATTTTAGTATTATGTTTTACCAACCCAGAACCAGACAAAGCAGAACAAACAAACAAACCAACCAACCAACCCAAATATTCATAAAGATCAATTATGAGATCTTTCATACAAGTCTCCCTTACCAGGGGTGCTTTGCTGTTATCTCTCTCAGCTCCTTCATGGATTCTGGTTCTCTTGGGTATACACTCGTTTCCAGAATATACTGCAACATCGTTTACGTAGTCACATATATATTGATTCTCGTATCACAATATGAATATATGTTAATTATGAGAAGGAAAAAAAGGTTTCGATTTGGTGCAGTGTGAGTACCTGGTACAGGGCATCGCTCTGCAAGAGGCTCTTGTGCCCAACCTCTTGGTGCCTTCCTGCTTCACTTTGCTGCTTCTGTTCTCCGTTGGAAGCCATTTTGACACCTCTAAATGCTCAACCTTTTATCAACTTTTTCCCTTCTGAGTACTTAATTATGCTCTGCGTCGTCTAATGTTTAAAGCAGAGCTTGGAGATGAAGGTGAATGAACATGGCCGTATAAATAAGGCCGGGGAAGTCCGGCTTGAACCGGGGAGATTTTTGCTGTGTTTGTTTGAACCGGTCACTACCCGGTCGGGGGTTGGTGAAGTCGTTGGATGCGTGAACCTGGGCCCACGCTCCACACTCTATTATTGAGTCTATCATTGGGTCGCACTAGTCTAATTTTTATTAAAAATAATTTTATAATTTCATAAGATATTCTTAACTGGATTTTTAATAAAATAATTTATAAAAGCCAGATTTAGTTTTAAAAATACACTTTGGTAATAATCAGAGCGTGGGTTTAATTTGAATTATTTTTTAAAATGTAAGATACTCCATTTAATATGGAAAAAGAATTTATATGTAGAAGCTACTACTGTAAAGTTTTCAATTATTGTTCCCTCTGTTTGCAGTCCAAAAAAGTGTGCTATATTCTATCTTTTTGTTGAATGCAGCATGCATCTACAATTTTTTGGCCAGAAATAAGACACACTGTACAGGTAGGGGTAGGTCCAAGAGGGTGTGGTCGGAAGGAGTCGAAAGTTTATTGGGGTTGGTTTGGGGTTGGTGAGATTCAAAACAAAGTAAAGTTATTCAATGAATTATCTACAATTAATATTATTTATTGCCAACAATAATTAATATATATCCACGAGTTAGTACTATATAAGTTAAATGTTTGGACTTTTGTGTCGGAAAAAAAATATTTGGATTCATAAAAAACATACAATACCTTTCCTTAAAAATAAAAAATATTTTTTAAAAGTCAGATATTTAAAAATATAAGATATTTTTAATTTTTTAATATGTAATTAATAAATTTTTTAAAAAATATTCTTAATAAATAAATCACTCAATCATTTATCTTTAAATAATACATTCTATTAAATAAAGGTGAATATAAAAAAGTGATATCAACTTAAATACAATTAACTAATTTATTAAAATATAATTTAATTAAAAATATTTTATATTTTTAAATAAATGGTATGTACAAAATGTGTGGATCAATGTTTAGTTTTAAAAAATTAAAAATAAAATATTAGAAAAGAATGAAGGAAAGAAGGTTGGTGGGCACCATCGGAATACGTGGAGGAATATCTTGACAATGGAAGAGTTAGGTACTCGCTGAAAAAGTCAAGATCCTTCGTTGTTCATGCATTAATGTGATTGTGATGTTGCCTCCAATGGTTCAAGTGCAAGTGAAAATGTGAAATGCGCGCATGACTTCAATGACGTTTTGCTATCATTTATTTTTTCACTCCAAGAGGAAGTTCCGGTGAGATTGAAAATAAATTTTAGAGAAAATAATAAAAAAATTCTTCAAAATATATAAATGGCAACGAAATTCTGCAAAATATGTTAATTCTTATCAAGTCTTTTGAAATTATTGCATCAATAAATTTTAAAGTAAAAATCACGTTTTTTCTTTTCACCATTCTCCATCTCATACTCTATCTCTTGTATGCAGCATTCTCACATCCATATTAAATCCCACCTTCGGATCTTCCCAAGACCTCACCCACCGCCACGGCCTTTGATTTCTGAGACAAAGATGAATTCAAATGTTCTTTTTTTTTTGTTAACTTTACCTCAACGTGAATTTATTTGCTACAATCTGCAACAATGGCACAAAAACAAGCGTCCGCAATTCCAATATGCCCACATCACATTTCCCTCAATAAAAAGACTGTGATGACAGTTTACTGGGTAATGTGGTGCGGTCATATCATATGTACCCCAAAAATCAGTGAATTCATCTTTAAATCTCACATAAGCTTTCTCGTTGATCTTACATAAGCTTTCACAACGAATTCGTATCCCAGTCTGCAACAATGCTACTCATGTTGACGTAAAGTAAAAAACAAGAAATCCTTCGAATTCATCTTCGGGTCCGTTTGGATTTCAGTTAGGTATAATAGATTATGAAAATAATTGATTAAGTGGTAGATTTTAATTATAATTGATTATGTTATAACGCAATCTGTTTGGATACTATTTTTTTAAAATTAATTTTAACAGAATTAAAAATATTTGAATAATTTAATCAGAATCAATTTTTTATATAAATTACTATATAATTTAATTTTTAAATATAAAAAATTAATTTTTTGAGGATATAAAATTTGAATTTAATTAAGGAAAAAAAAAGAGAGAAGAGAAAAGAGTTTAATTTTATTTTTATTAAATTATGTGCTTTATATGTAATTTGCTCGTGGGCTTTCTTTTGTAATTTTCTCCAACGTTTTTTGATTAACTTTTGGCAAAAGCTGATTCCATCAGCTTACGAAAAAACGCGCGTAACATGCGAGAATCGATTTTTGTCTTATTTTGACTGTTTGGATAATTTGTTGAAAAAATCGATTTTGGAGGGAGAAAATCGATTTTTTCCCTTATCCAAACACACTAAAATTGGGAAGATCTGAGGGTGTAACTGAATAGCAGTGTGACAATGCTGTATACAAGAGACAAAGTAAGAGAGGGAGAATGGTGAAGGAAAAAAAGTGCCATTTTATTTTAAAATTTATTCACACACAAGTCTTTAAGAACTCAAAAAAAAAAACATATTTACCAAATTTTATTATTATTTGTATATTTTAGAGGGATTTTTTTGTCATTCTTCCCAAATTTATTTCTATTTACTTATTGAAAAGGAAAATTAAAATATCTATTACATCTTTATTATTATTTATTAAAATTTTGTTGCTAACGTTTTGAATAGCAGGGTTGATTAAAAAATTTATACAAATAGATAGGTAGATTCTAGATTAAAAAAAAAAAAAAGCAATAACTTTAAAAGCATGGACCGGAAATCATGTCCTCGTATCCTTTGCAGTTTGCACCAGTTGTCCTTCTAAGTTATTCCTATGATTTATGTCACTACAAAAAGACATGTTTAAGCGGCGGTCTTTATTGGCCGTTCTCATGTTTTTAGAATTGAACCATATATCAATCCAATTAACGGCTTCTTTGGATAAACAACTTCTTATTTATGGGAAGTGGTTTTCTACTTTTAACATGTAAGAAGTTACTTCTTCTATTTAAAAATATAAAGTATTTTTAATTTTTTAAGATATAATTATTATTCTTTTTTAAAAGTGCTCTTATTAATAAATAATTTTATAATTATTGTAGGGTTTGTAATAAAGGTAAATATAAATAGATAAGGTTAGTTTAAAAGCAGATAACTATTTTATTGAAGAATAAGATTCAGTTAAAAATATTTTATATTTTTAAATGGAGGGAGTATATAGTTATTTTTTGAGGATGAAAATTTACTTTTGAGATGTCCTCTTAAAAAGGCAATGCATGTGGGACTCTTCAACTTAAATAAGAATAGCTTTTATACTTGGAAAAGTAAGTAAGAGTTTTAAAATATTTCAAATACATTTTCCTTTAACTTGTTACCCTCCACTCTCTAAAAACCATAAAAGCCTCTCCATTGTGAATATTTTGCTTCAGATGGATGAATAAAATGCCAGCTTATTAATCTAATATAGGAAGTATTTAGCGTGAGAAAATTAAAGTGAAAAGGGAAAATGATATTCTAGCCCAAAAAAGAAAGAAAAGGGAAACGGATATATTAACAACACATGCATGCAAGTAGTATTGTATGCGTGTAATATGTTAAACATATGTTTTTAAATCTAGAATATAAATATTTTTAATATAGATCTTGTCTTACATAAATCACATTCTTACAAATGTAGAATTTTTGTGTATTTTTTTAAGTAGAGTCAAATATTATTAAAACACAAAATATGCATGCTCATAAAGCCATCAATTAAGGCCGAGCTTATCGGACCGACCCTTTTAAATTCAAGAAATGTAGGGTCGGGTCACTTCTTTGAGGTGTAAAATAGTAAATTGAGTTTAAAAGTTGTCTTCTTAAGCCTAAAAATAAAAGGGCCGATCCTTTTAAGTCTTATTATATTTTTTAAAAAAATTAATATAAAAAATAAATACTACAAAATTGAATGTTATGTGTAATAACTTATGAGGCTTCACAAGGAGAGTGATTAAATTATATTGATGTCGATGACAATACAAATTATCCAAATTTAGTCGACAGTGCTAGTAGAGTTTAATTATTATCGGTGTTGATTTTGTGATATTGCAACTTTTGATTAGACTTAAATTTGTTATTATGTGTATTGTCTTAAATTCATTATGCTAGACTTAAAATTATATGTAATAACTTGTTTAGGATTTTAAATATGTTTTTAGAATTTTAAATTGAAAAATAAAAAAGGGGCCAAGGTCCTGAAGGCTGACCCTTTAGCCTCAAGGCCTAGGGTCAGGTCGACCCAAATGAAATCTTAAAGTGAAATCAGGCTTACCAAATCCAGCTCGTTTAGGTCTTAACCCTTCAATAGCCGATCCTAATTGATAGCTCTACATGTTCATAAAAACCCCTAAGCAAAACACTTAAAGGCCTACACATAACAGGCTAAAAGAAAATAACAAAGAGGATAAACAAACTCAAAGGAAAACATACATACCCTATACACTAAACCATCATATAAACCTAAAAGACAAACAAAATCCAAAGAAGCAAAAGCTCTAATTATGCTTATCTTGATCATGCAAATGTTATGGAGTTGAACTCACAATGATGACATGAAGAACAAGCTTAAAAGCTAATTCACAATGAGCTTATTTAAGTGCAGTGAGTAAATTAATGAATCATGCAATTTTTTATTTAGTAAATCTTCTCCCGTAGCATTTTGAAAGCCAAAGCTTGATGTGAGGATGATTAGGATTTTTGGTTAAAACCTTGTGAGAGCCATCAAGATCATTAGCAGCCTCAGTTCCTACATCAAGAAATACAGAAAAGAATCTCATCAAACCATGAGGCACACTCATATTTGAAAACTTTAGTTGTGATAGAAGAAGAATATATGTTGGTGTAGAAACTCAATGGTGGCCAAAAGTCTAAGGAATAGCACTAATCTCCATTAGGGAAAAGTTAAAATGACCTCTATCACGAT